TTTTTTATCGAGAGTGTGAACACGAACACTTTCTACATTTATTATTGCATCAGATTGTCCGATAAATTCTTTTCCTCGCCTCTTGGTTCTTCGTTTTTTGAAAATATCATTGTATAGAAAATCACACGATCCAATGCATGTCGAGTAAAGGAATAAATGGTATATATGGATAAATATTATCTGTAATTGCGGGCAGAAAGAAAAACGAATGCTATAAATATTTCGAGTATAATACCGAAATTGAAAATATAATATACAACGTTTGAAATAATCAAAGGATCATTTATTACTGCTGGAAATATTACGAACGATTTAACTTTATTGGAATATTTACTGTATCATTAACATTTACTATATAATTGGAATCGTCGATCGTTTTAATTAACTCTTTAAGAAAGACACGATATTACAATTTCTTTCGATAAAGAGACGAGACTTTCAAAGTTCAGAGACTTCGTTCATCGTTAGTGGTGCGAACGAACTGGAAGAATCAATTCGTGGGGACGAACAAAAATTCTAAATTAGCGACAGGTGCGAAGCATGCACGAAAACGCATACGTGCAAAACGAAACAGGTATGGAGAGGAACGCAGGTGGCCATACAACCAGCGGGGAATTTTCGACAAAAGACGATTTCCTGGCGGCACAAAGAGAATCGTTGCACGTCGACCATAAGCTGCTTAACGAAAAATTAGAAAAGACCTCTCTCTCTCTCTGCCAGACCGAAATTTTGGGAACTCACTCCGAGAAAGAATAGAGCATTATAATTTTCATACATACTCGATCGTACGATAATTTTCGTACGTGCAGAGCATTATGATTGTGTGATGCTTGAACGGCGGAATTCATTTCCTCTTTCAATTAAATTGTTACACAGTGACTTCTCGCGTCCGCGAATTCCGTATTGTTCTTACATTGGAAATTTTAATTCCATGCCCGCATATTTCCATATACTTTGCAACACTCGCGCATATTTTATGTTTCATTATTCCCGCGTTTGTCGTTTGCCAACTAACGAGACAATAGAAATAAACAATTCAATGCATAGCATATCCCTACATGGCGTTTCAATTAATTCTTTTCATCGTATAATTTCATTAATTAATTTCGTTAAATAATCCCACGGCTATTAAAATTTTCCCCGGCGTTATCACGCTATTCGTGCGTGAAATTCCATTTCCAGGCGGAGCTGCGTGTTTCAAAAATTATATTCAATTCGTTCGTCTTTCGAATTCGAATGCATTATACTCGCTTCCATTAGTATTATTACCGGGGATTTTCTACGCAGGTTCATATATTCAACGGTATATAATTAAAAAAAGTAGATAACTCGATAGGAAACTAATTTGCGTAGCTGAATGTTGCAGAAAGAGCTACACTCTGAATGTCTTTAAACGTTCGCGGTTTCGCGTCACAGAACAGAGCTGCATTTATTGATTTGTTTGAGGGGAATTTCACCTCTCAAATCAAAGCTCCATAAACTATTCGGCTGGCGGTAAATTTTACACTTCAGGATGCCTAAAAATTTGCAGTTCCATCATAGTTACACCAATTACTATCAGAGAAGAAAAAAAGGAAGGGAATTTATCTCGAAAGAGTTGAATTAACAAACACTTATTTAGAGACATTCGAGACTGACCGTGACTCGAATATTCGAAGCAGTGACATTGTCGAGTTAAACATCAGCTATGTAACTATCGCATGATTACAGGTGGCAGTACCCGCCCACCCACTATGCACTCTGAACACGCGTGTTGCTAATGGGCGTAGGTCGGCCCCCGGCTCGAAATCTTCGCTTTCGTAACGCCAGGCTTTTCCAACGCGGCTTTGTAAACAAGATAATTAACGCAAGCAGCCAGGTACAAGCGGACGGTCGTCTTAATTGTGCACCACGGTTCGACGATCCAGGCGAGGGCAGAAAGTGAGAAACGAATAGGAGAAAAAGGAAAGGGGCAGGGGGGGGCGAGGGTACGGTGTAACGAAGTAATACCGTGGACG